GACCAGCAACAAGGTGGAACTTATTTGTGGCCATTTTGCAATCGCCACAAAAGGACTTTCCAGGGGTTTTCTGTGTGGAAGCCTCGATGGCGTGGCAGGATTCCATGCCTTTCATTGACGGTAAATTCGTGCTGTTGCATTTACTTTCCTGGCTGTTGACCAGACATATCATGGGGGAGGAAGTGCTCCGTCTGTATCTCAATGAGCCTGATGATGCAGTGAGAGTAAGCACTGCACCAAGTAGCTGTATAAACATTCGTCGAAGCGTTCGAGACTATAAGAGAGTCTCTAATGGAGTGTATATACAGGTAGGGTAATAAGCTTTTGAGAAAAGGGGATGCAATCAAGTCGCATGGTAAAGTGATCAGCCCATCTAAGCTGTGATGGCATGACTCAAATTAACAATTCCAAGAATGTTGGTACATGAGAGCTCAACTCCAGCAAAATGCGATGTTCTCTAACTAACTGGGGCTGGTGGTGAAAACATTATGGTGAGCGACTGGAACATAATTGTGTTTAGTATGTGGCCTTAGCCAAGTTACTTACCTTAAATAAGATGGAAACAATATTTGGTTGAATATTAAATGATCATAATTCATGTAAAGCATGGAATTGATGTGCGATTAAATAGCGTTATATGATGATGTGATGATGATGATGATGATTATTATTATTAACTGTTGGGCTGTGGACCAATAAACGAGAATGCCCTATCTTTGTTGCTCAGATAGGAGACACAGATAGGAAAGACATTCCTGAAGCAGAAGCTTATTATCTGTTGTTGTTTAGAGAAGTACCAAAAAACAGGCGTGGCTGGTGGCTCGTGCCTGTAATCCCAGCAGTCTTTGGACGCGCAAGGTGGCGGCAGATCGTCTTTGATGGTTGTAGGAAAGTTCAGATGAGCCAAACTGGCCAACACGGTGAAACCTCGCTCTCGCACTAACAACAGGTACAAAAATTAGCCAGTATGTGGTGGGCAGGCGCATGTAAATCCCAGCTACTCAGACGGTTCTGAGGGCACAGAGAGAAGCACGTTGAACCCGGGGAAGATGGAGGTTGCAGCGTGCGCAGAGATCAAGCCACTGCACTCCCAGCCGGGCAACAGGCAAGATTCCATTCAAAAAAAAATGAAAAAAATGCCAAAGATCAGGCTTGAGTGCTGTTTATTTTCCCAACCTTTCATTTTAGTTTAGGGATACGTATCAGGCTTGTATTGATGCGTAATCGCATGTGGTGAGGTGTGGCTGAGGTTTGGTGTCCGAATGATCCGTCGCCCAGTTAGAGAGCAAGGTACCTCATAGGTAGTTTCTCAACCTTCATCCCGGTCTCACCCTCCCCTGTCTAGTGGTGCTCAGTGTCTATTGTTCCTCTCAGGCCTTGAGTTTCTAATTGCCTATGGTATGCTTTATTTTGTAGAGGTCCTGCTTGAAGCTTTATTCCTCACCGTGGATCCTTACATGAGGTATTATTTATTTCCCCCCTCAAAATGCTAATGCTGTGTCAAATGCTATTTGGAAGTAGTTCATCTTTTAAAATATCCAACTGACTTAAAACATTGTCGCTTTCCCTCTGTTTCTTGCAGCCAGTAACAGTGATGGGATTCATGTACATTCATCTTTTGCAGGCAAAGGTCTGAGTAGCTTAGTGAGGGATCACCTCGGTTCCTTTGTCCCAACCATCTCCTATCTGCCCTGCACAATTTGCCTTTCACTGCTCAACAGAATTACTTCCAGAAAAAAAAGAAAAAGAAAAAAAAACCTTAAAAGAAAAAAATAAAAAATAAAGCCTGGGCAACATGGCAAAACCCTGTCTCTACTAAAAATACAAAAAATTAGCTGGGCGTGGTGGCGCATGCCTATCGTCCCAGCTACTCAGGAGGATGAGGCAGAAAGATCACTTGAGCCTGGGAGGCAGAGGTTGCAGCGATCCGAGATCGTGCCACTGCACTCCAGCCTAGGTAACGGAGTAAGACCCCATCTCATAAAGAAAAAAGAAGCCAAACCCAAATTTGTCTCTTTCACTACTGGCAAATAATTTGGATAGAGGAAGATGCTAAGACTAAAATCAGCTTTTCTGGCCTTCCATTTACCTGTATTCTTTTAATGTAGGTAAATCTGCAGTTGACTCAAACTTATATACTCAGCAAACAACTCAGGGAGGGAGGAAATCAAAAGGCTTTATTGACCACTAAGTCCTCAGTATTTTTTTGCCCAGGTAAATAACATAGCCATCATTCTGTTACATTTTTTTCATAGCTCATTGATAAAGATTCAAATCTGAAGTGGAAAATACAGTTTAAAAATGTGAATTGGCATCTTTTTGTGTAGCTAGTGTTTTGGGTAATAACCACCCAGTGGTGCCTGGCTTATATTTTTTAAGTCATTGGTAGAAATTCATCTTTACTTGAACATGGCGGTAAGACTTTTGTGTTCACTCGTTAAAAAATCCAATCGGGGTGCTTATCTGAGGTCACAGAGCAGAACTTCCTCTAACAGCTTTCCTCCTGCATCTCACCTAGTTGTAGCCCTTCATCTGTCTGGGTTTTATTGCCGCATACACTTACCCAGCAGTTTTCCATTAGCTTGAAACTCAAAACAGTCCCCCGACGCTCTTATGTATTAAGAATGGAATTTTTTTTTTCAGATTTTTAGCCAAAACATTGAAAGAAGGTGATACAATGATGGGGCAGCAAGTGGCCAGGTAATTATTTCCATTTGTCCCAATGCTTGGAAAATATGTCTCCTCTTTACCTCCTGCTGGGTCCTGTCTCTGTCCATCACTCCTACAATTTCTTCAGCCTGTGTGGTTCACTCACTGTGTGATCTTGGAATCAACTTGGGAAATCTTGTTCCCTTCCTGACTAGCTGGAAAGGAGGGAAGGGTGTGAAATCAGCTTCACTTTGCCATCCTTACTTTTAATTACTTAAAAAAAAAAAAAAAGTATTCGTCCAGGTCATGATTATTGTAAAAATTCAAATAAAACAAAAATTTTTATCTTGGAAATTGAAAGTTCCCCCGTCATCTGAACCTTAAGGCAACTATTGTTAATATATTATTATTTCAAAAATTGTGGGCCAGCACAGTGGCTGATGCCTGTAATCCCAGCACTTTGGGAAGCCAAGGTGGGCAGATTACTTGAAGTCAGCAGTTAGAGACCTGCCTGGCCAACATGGTGAAACCCTGTCTCTACTAAAAATATAAAAATTAATTGGGTGTGGTGGTGCATGCCTGTAATCCTAGCTACTCGGGAGGCTGAGGCAGGAGAATCGCTTGAACCTGGGAGGCGGAGGTTGCAGTGAGCCAAGGTTGCACCGCTGCACTCCAGCCTGGGCGATAGAGCAAGAGTCCATCTCAAAAAAAATAAAGAAAGAAAAGAAAAAGAAAAATTGTTCAGTGCACATACTTTTATATATAAATTTCGCTTTATTTTTTTGTTATTATTCTTTTGAGACAGAGTCTTGTTCTTGTTGCCCATGCTGGAGTGCAATGGCACAATCTTGGCTCACCGCAAACTCCACCTCCCAGGTTCAAGCGATTCTGATTCTTCTGCCTCAGTCTCCCGAGTAGCTGGGTTTACAGGCATGCACCAGCACACCCCGCAAATTTTGTACTTTTAGTAGAGATGGAGTTTCTTCATGTTGGTCTGGCTAGTCTAGAGCTCCTGACCTCTGCTGATCCTCCCGCC